ATTGCGTCCGAAGAACAAAGTGTTGGCGGTTTCGATGAAACTGTTTGCTCGTTGGCCTTAGCCCTGAGTGTGTGAATACACGCGCTCAGCCTGGCCAACATTAGAATCTTTAGATTGCTGCGGTTATGCGCAGCGCTGGTAATCCATCGATCACGCAACTGACATCCAGAAGCGTGCTAGAGTTGTGGTCTTGGGGTCGGCTCAAAAAAGACTTTTGTGCATTGGCTTGACCTGAGTGGTTGCAACAGCATGCGCATATTGGTACCAAACTTGAAACCAATCCGAAACGGCTGGTCGAACGCTTGTCGAACGCCAGGTCCGTGCTGGACAGCTAAGAAGCTGGCTCGCGACATTGGAAGTGGAGAGCCATGGCTGCAGGACTCTGGTATAGCGTTGGTTTCACGAATGTTCATCCATATTTTGAAAGAGGTGTCATTTTTGAGGGACTATTGCAACGCTGCTTCTCGTTTTCTTTCGCCAAGGGGACTTGCACAAGCGCTCTGGGTACAGCTCGGGCTGTGATGCGTGATTCCCGGGAGCTAGGTGGCGAGGAGCTACAATGCCCTGTCCTCAAGAGGTTGGAAGGGGCTCCAAACAAGAAGTCTGCCGCTTTGCAGGCAAAGTCGTGCTTTCGTGACTGTGTTGCTTTTCCCAAACATGGAAGCCCAAATAAACAGCCATGGCGGTTGGACCGGCCTTTTGTTGTCCTTTTTCAGGTGGTACAAAAAACATATTAACAACATTCTTCAGCTCTGAATCAGGAAGAGGTCGCCCACCAAACCTTCTCCAAGTTTGGCCTTCGATTGAATGTGAAGATTACTTATGTGGATGTGGGTGCCCGCCAAAAGCTGCCCATGCTCTTGCCATCGTCCTTCCTCGAGCTCATAGACAAGAAAAACTTCTGGGGCAAGATTTGCGGACAACCAACTCTGGCATCGGCTGAGCGTGCCTTTGCATCTTTCTGGGAGAAGTACAAAGTTGTTTGCCCCGACTTCACGTTTTTCGACATTGCCCGTGAAAGAAATATCCCCTTGTGTAGGGCGTGCCCCATCTATGTCCACGGGGATGAGGGCACCCACTACAAACGAGGTGCAATAATGATCTTGCAGTTTCAGGGGGTGCTGGGGTCGGGAACTACTCGCCATGTGAATGACAACACCCGGGATGCTCTTGCCGTCAACTCGTTGGGCAACACGTTGAACACAAGACTGCTAGTCGGCACTATGACAAAGAAAGCTTGGTCTCATTTACAATGATGCAACATTTTCACTTTAGAATTTGCGGTAAATCGTTACAGGTGTTCCTATCTTTGGATCTTTGGGGGTGTCGTGCAAGTTCTTAATTGGTCAAGCCAAACGCCAACCCTCGATGCCGATCTATATCATTCCCATTAAGGCAATGTACAAGTTTACACCCGACGTGCTGGAGGGGATGTTTGAATTCCTGGTGGAGGATTTGCACATGCTGTGCACCAAGGGTCTAGTTTTGAAGGATGGCAATCCTCTCTGGTTGGTACCCTTAGGAGTGAAGGGGGATTGGCCGTTTCTCGTATCTTGGCAAGCCATGGCAATGCTTTTACTGTTTTTGCACCGGTCCCGCCTAAACAAGCTTACACGAGTGGCTTTGGAATCCAAGGCCACTGCTGGTGGACTTACCAGGACATTCCGAAATGGCCCAAAGGCTGCTGCCTCGAAAACCGCTGGGGTTGGAATATGCCACCTTTGCAGAGCCGGCCAACCGGGGCTGGACTTTGAGGATATGCTCCCTGCCTAATACTTTTTGCGTGGTAGCTTTTGCAGTTTGACATTTCTTTGGAATGTGTTAAATGGGATTGGTGTAAATGACAAGCGATTGAAAACAGTTGCATTGGGCCCCAAAAAGGTCTGACTACCCACCATTCATGGAAACCATCGATGAGCAACCTCCTTGGGATGACTTGCCGTGTTGGGTTCGGGTACTTCCACATGATCGCAACAGCCCCGCTGCATACTTCAAGCCTGACGTGTGGCATACCGTGAACCTGGGGGTGGGGCGGTCATGGGTTGCCAACTGCGTGGTTCTCTTGGCATGCAACCTTCCGGAGTTTGAGAGCCTCAGCATTGACGATACCTTGGCCCGCCTGTCGACTTCATACGTTGCTTTCTGTGAGGCGTCTGAACCTCGATTGATTTTACAACTAGTTTAGCCCGTTTGAATTATAAACAACAGCCGGCGCTTGAACATGCTGCATCCTACGCTTGCTGTTTGGCAACTGCATGCATATAAGGTGCCGAAGAAGGTGAAGTACATCAGCACGCTTACCCGAACGACTTTTGGCTGGGAAAGCACTAGTGTGGCGCCCGACGGCACTTGGAGCAAGGGTTCCTTGACAACAACTTTAGCATCCTGGGTGGAAGCATTCTGTCAAGAGCGCGCTCTGGAACAAGGTTCTGACAACCGGCTTGCTTTGGTGGCTTCAGGCACTCGTGCCATGAATGCAATGATGAAAGCCTTTTATGATCATGATTTGTGGCTGGATATGGCTGGTAAGAACCGCGTCCTAGCTGCTGGCCATCACTTCTTGCAAGCAACCGCAAAGCTTGCGGTTCTCTCTTTCCAGCTCCGCCAAACAATGTTCCCAATTACCCCGAAACATCATATGATGTTTCACTGCATCAAAACAATCGAGTGGCAGGGTGACGTTGCTGGGTACGCCCAGAACCCTGTATCAGAATTTTGCGCTTTGGATGAGGATTTCATCGGAAGGGTAGCTTCGGTGTCCAGATCTGTAAGCCCAAGACTTACATGCCTACGCGTGGCTCAAAGGTACCTGCTTTTGTGCCGGGCTGCGTGGGTGGGCGATCTGGATGACCTAATTCGGGGTGTCAAACGCGGACGCAAATAAGTGATTGCTTAGCGCACGCAGCGGGGGAAAATTGGTGCCACTCCTTGCGGGGTTCCTCGTGTGGACGCCCAATGATCTTCGAGAGGCCGGCGCGGCCGGGCGAGGGTCCAGGCAAGTGTCAGCCCCCCCCCCCCGGTCAAAACACAAAAAACAACACCAGTGCTCCAAAAACCGTTCTGTGTTCCAAAAAGCGTTCAGGTGTTGAAATCCCTGTAAAACCATCGTTTTGGGAAGAAGTGTTGAAATTAGTACGTTTTTGGGGGTCGCAGGTATATATATATATATATCATATACACATGGTACCCCTCCTCCAAAGCCCAGGTAGGTTCCTTTGGTAGACCTAAAGCAGTGGTAGAATGACCCGAAAACCCTGGACACATGCATACTTACTTACTTCTGGCAAATGAAACATAAACATAATTGCCTGCACAATTTCCATTGTTGGCACTTTTCATTGGCCCCTTTTGCTTCTGGAAGCTTACTTGTTTATCGTTGCCAGTAAAAGGCAAAGAGTAACACCTAGTAGTAAAAGTACCAAACATGAAAGTTTGTTTACTTAAGGCAGTTTTACTTGTTTACTTTCCCCAAAAGCGTCCTGTTTCAGGTTGTTGTTCAACATAGAATGGATGTCATGGGGTTCAGTTTGGCTCCCATCAGTTGCCAATGCAACCTATTTTGTCCAAAATAATATATATCATTTACCAGTGCCATCTATCCAAAAAGACATCTAAGCCGATGAAGAGTTTTGCCAATGCGCCTCAAATAGCTACCATCTACAACCTACAAGCACCAGGGGCATCCCCCCCCCCGAATTGGTGGCTTTCAGTTCGAATTCCCTAACGAAGGCATCTAGGCTCAGTGAAGAACAAGCCACATCTGCAAGCAGTCGGGTTGAAGTGGTTTGAGTCATTGGGGCCACTCGGGATACAGAAGCTGGCTTTTTGAAGACTGAGATGACTACCCCCAATTCCCCCGCAAGTCCAGATGCCACAGATGCCAAAGGATATGTGAAGGTTATGTAAGGGTCATATAAGTTGTGTTTAGCGGGTAGAGAACAAGTTCGTGGACGTTTCACCCTCGTGATTGAACGTGTAAGTGTCAAGCACGGTTCTCAAACCGCCTCTTTTTCAACACTAACACTGTGGTCAACACATTCCAAGCTGGGAGCCCCTCCATGCAACTGCAATGATGTCCATCTGGGTCGCCACCCACCTTTTGCTGCAAACTGGCAGGTCACTTTGCTTATGCAAAGAGAGGCAACTAAACGAACCCCGTGGTACGTCTCAGGACAGCACAAGTGACCAACTCACCTGGCGCAAGCATCTGCCCAAATTGAGATTGGGTGACCAAATCAGCTAAATACGTGGCTAACCAATGGGCTAGTTGACCCTTCAAGAGTGACTAACTCTTCGGAGGGTTGACCAAACGAGGTGATGACCACGGAAGAAACCCAGCTTGCCAACTGGTGTGAGATTTGTCCATCGCAGTCCCCCTTTTTCGACCCAAGTGCCCGAGAAAGCCGAAAGCGCCTTTTCAAGTGCCGAAAAGGAGCACTAATTGTGACAAGCCCACCACATGGTATGCATCAAGTTTAGGTGGCACAAATGACTTTGGCTTCCTTTGCATTTGAAACAACCTCTTTTCAGGCTACCCCCTAAAAAACAATCAAACAAGCACACAAACACACAAACACACAAACACACAAACACACAAACACACAAACACACAAACACGCAAACACGCAAACACGCAAACACGCAAACACGCAAACACGCAAACACGCAAACACAAACACACAAACACACAAACACACAAAGACACAAACACACACAACACAAAACACACAACACACAACACACAACACACAACACACAAAGACACGACACACAACACAAAACACACAACACACAACACACAACACACACACACAACACACAACACACACACAACACACACACACACAGAGCTTTGGGTCAACACCAATGGTACCATTTTGGGGTAGGTGCACCACCCATTTTAGTCTATTTTAGCTGGGATTGGGATGTTCACCGGGGGCTAACCGATTTGGATTTTGACCCATGGCCACATCACTACAAGGAGCCAGGGCTTGGCACTCCTACTTCCCGGCTCCAAGACCCTGCCTCGCTCAGGGGCTGCACGCCCGCCCACTCGGCTCCGCGGAGCAGACCGTAGTGGGACTCTTGAAACAGCTGCTTGCTCTGCAGCATCTTCCTAGGCACAAAACGACACCTGTCAGGCACCTTCTGATCAGCATCTTCCCAGACTCTGGATTTAACTAGATAATTGCCTGGCTCTTGAATGTTGAGCTTGAGGCACGTGACTGTAGGTTTTTTACTTTGGAAAGCAATGAACTGAAGCCGAATGAAGCCTGGCAACAGAATTCACATGAGTTACCATGGTGGATGTTTAGGCTGCCTACTGGGAGTTCGACTTGCGATTTCGCCCAAATCGATCGCAGCACGAAATGAGCTACCATGGTTGACACCCGGGTTTTGTTGGTGTACAGGGGACTCCACTCATTCCAGGGTTTCTGAACGGTGGTGCACCGGAGTTCGTCCAACCACAGTATGCTTCCCCCAATCATGGAATCTGAAAATCGGTCAAAGCATCCTGGAAGTCTACTTTCCCTTTTGTGGAGCCCCATGTTCACTGCCATATGTGTTCCTGCGGCTCGAAACGTTTCTCAAACGCAAAGGTGGAGTTGATACCAGATGAAAAGTGAAACATAGGGCACCCCGCGGTTTGCGAATCCATTGGCGAACATGTCGGGTCAGGGTTTGTGACACAAATATGACCAGGCTCCTTTGAGTGCACAACATCTTCTCAAACCACCTGGGTTGAAGTCTTTTGAGGGTCACCAACAGCTTCTTCCGCTCGCATCTTGCAACGAAGCGCTCCAAATCCCTGGTGACGTTGGTGCCCAATGCCACCAGGGCCGCTTCTGCTTGCATCCTCAGCAAGGTTCCAGCCAAACACGATCTGCGTCTTAGAACTCAGTTGCTCAGTGCAACCAGAAAGACAAACAAGGGAAAAAGGGTGCCACTGAACAACTGAGAGAAATGGCGGGGCTGCCCGTCTCAGACATGTTGGGCGTTGCTAACCCAAAAAGGGGTTGTCGAAACTGTGAATGGAGAACTAAAGCCAAGAAACTTTGCTGTCCGTGGCAGGTCACAAGGACTTGAAAGAACAGACATCCGTGACGTCTCCCACTGAGCCCCCCCACGAAAAAACACGAAACACCACAAACCCACAAATCCGCAACTCCATTTCCGTCCGGTACCTCTGTTGAATCAGAGTTTGGGACCCCCAAAATGGCGATGATTTTCCTGGCAGTCTCGCGACCCATCCTCCACCACAATAAGGGCTTCCAACTAACCGAAGACCGAACCAAGGGTACTTGTGTGTTCGGCCAAGTCCACTTCTTTGTGTCCCCCCCCTATGTGGGACCTTGTTAAGGGGGTAACCACCTAACTTGGCCGCGACCGTTCAGAAGCCCCAGCGAGAATGGGAGAATCAATGGCGACGGACATGCAACACCTCATGGATGCCAAACTAACAACTTGGTTCACGTTGGAAGGGGAGCAACAACTTAAGTCTTAGCAATATCCCACTCAACCGCAATAAGCAAAAATGCAAAACGTTTCCCAACAACAACCATGAGAACATCGACCCTCCACATGGCAAAGCCACTTCGACCCGTCGCATCGAGTCCAAGTTCCCCGAGTTCGACCCGTCCGAGTTGCTCGTGGATCAGCATCAGCTGGCGCTCCGCGAGTGTAAACTCCATAGGCACCTGGCGAGCTGGACTGGGAGAGAAATCCACTATAGACGAAAATGGGTCACAGGAAGATTCTACAGGACATCCCTGCTTTCTGGCGGATGTTTGGCAAACTTCCTGTAGAAGTTCCTGTAGCTGGATTCTATGAATACGGATATGTGTGGCACCTGCACATGTGGGGGAAAGTCGTGTATCACACAAATTTGTTGAAGAGAACAAGTATGGTCTTCGAAACAAAAACGCAATTGCACACGGTTCTAACACTTTCAGGTTTGTCTCATGTTCGTGTGGCCCCTACCTTGAGGGAAAAGGAAGGCGGTTCTCCATTTCTGTCGCCAATGGGAAAGGATCTAGGGTCATCTTTTTTGGAGCAAAGAAATCCAATCTGGAAATGGCTTTCTGATTGAACAGCTTTGGCTTCCAAGGACCCTGAAACACCTTCTGGATGTTGCTTTTGGGCCCAAAGCAAGCGAGAAGCAACTGCAAAAGACGGTTTCCCGGCCCAGAAAATGACCGGAGTATGATTGTACAACCCCGTGTTTGAAAACGGCGTTGCACTATGGGACAATGGTATGTGAGGTTGATTGATTCTAACGACATATTTCAGAAACTTCCGTCGGAAAGACCTTCCTGTACATATCTGATGCCCTTAGCCCTGGCAAGGCTAAAGGCAAACTCTCCGAGCTGTGGAAGGTGACCTGAGAGTTCCTTAGGTTTGCCGTTGACTATGTTGGGAAGGCTAACTACCCGAAGTGTTCGAGGCCAATGATTCGGTGCGGCTCCGCACGTACAACCGTTTCGGCATGTTGCGGGATTTGGGGCGATCCGATTCCGAAAAAAAAGCAACGAGCCACCCAAATGGCAGGTCTGCAACCTCACCGGAATCCGAGGTCTTGGCGGAATAACCATCGAAAGCGCGTGCCAGTCGAAAGCACCTCCTCGCTCCCTACATGCGTCTTTGGGGTCCCAACCGTGACTTGCGCATAGTCCAAGGACAAAGGGCTCTGCTGGGGTCTTCGTTCAACCCAGGTAACTTAGGTTATAACCCACTGGTGAACCACTTAATTTTGTCGTTATTGAGGGGTTATGGTTTAAGTGGCAAACCACCTTGGCCGGCCAAACATGCAAGTGGGAAGCGCGCAAAACAAGTGGAAATGGGAGTGAATGGGAGTCAATGGGGGCAACTGGGATGACCCATGTATGCCAAAGCCAGGAAATGGATCCTCCAATTTGGCGAAGCCACCTCGCTTCCCATGAAATGAAGCCATCTGACACACTAAACTCACCAGCACCCGCGGCTTGTGCGGGTTTATCCTTTTCAGGTACCCCGTGATTTATGTTGGTTTTAAACCAACTAGAAAACCGCCATTTGTGGGTCCCCCAAAACGACACACCCATACATGCACAAGTTTGCGCTTCTCAAGCAGGCGGCACAGGATTTCCCCTTTGCAAGTGGCATTTCGCTCGTGAGGTCCGAAAACGGAGAATTGAGCGCCCCTGTCTCGGAAAAGGTAGACACACAACCAAACGTGCTTTGAAAGGCTTTTGTCAACCAACTGTCCACTTCCATGATGACTAAGAGGGGTAATAAACCATTCAAGACTGGACCTGTGGTATGCCTTATGCTAGCACCCCCCCCCCGCCCGCACCCAATTTGCTGCAACCATGAAGCTACACCTCCAGTGACCATGGGACAGAGGCAGGAAAGGCACCGCACGTGAATGGAAGGCTTGGGCTTGGGTCCTCTTGGTTCAAAACCCCTAAAATTGCTGCTTTGTTGCTACTTCTTCCAACTCTAGCCTAAAATCCTAGCCTCACTTCCGATCGAGGCCAAACAAAAAGTCCCGAAACTTTCTGAGTGACACTAAAATGGTCTGTCGAAAAGTGAAAGTCCAGGAACTCAGGAAGCGAGTCATGTTTTTCCACCCGATTCATCAGGGGTCGTTGAATAACTAAAAGTGTTTTTCCTTATTCTGGTTTCCCCCCGTTGTGGCTCCTCTTGAGTCCTTGTAGCCCATCCATTCCTTGGCCCGGAAAAAGCTAAAGCAGACGGCGTGCGGAACCGGGCGCCTCATTCCCGTCGGCCACGGCTTCTGCCGTCAGCAAGTCAGACGCCTCCAGCAAGAGCTGCCTGAGATGCATTTTCGGCTGGCGTTTTGAAGGGAGGTGTCTCCTTGGGGCTTGGAATTGGGCTAACCCTGTTGCAACAGAGATCATTCACGCTTGAAGATTCATCTGTCGTGTGGGGCTTTGATATGAAATGTCATACTGACTGTGCAAGATTAAAACACTTATTCCAGAAGCTGAGTCAAGGCCACCCCCCAGTGAAGGACCGTCATCATGTTCGCTTGCTTTGCCTCCCTCGTCCTGAAATTGGTGACCCCAAGAATTGGCTTTGCTTGACCTCTGAAGCCTTTTTTGGGGGCAACTCAACCACCCTTTCTCCGGGCCACTTGATGGAGGCCGTCAGCTTGTAGGCTTGTGAAATGCCGGTGCTGTCACCGGTGGTCACGTTCTGCAAGAGCACTTGGTACACCTCAATTGCAGTTCCGGGCAGTGGGTCAAGCCTCACAAACCAATTGTATATGGGTGTGTCCTTTTGTTAGTTTGCACCCCCCAAATGGTGCAACGGTCTTTGCTTTCGCTATAAAACCACCAAAAAACAGGTAGCCTCAAGAAAGACACGCCCAAATCCTGGTTGATCCAACCAGTTGCTCCCTTGACATTGAAAGAAGCCCCGTATTTGCGGGATCTCCTTTTGGGACATGCACTTGCTGGGCTCCCATGGTAAATCTGCAGACTCTTACGTTAAGGGCACACACGCGTTCGATGTGGACCCAGTTGACTCTTCCCAAAAATGTGTCCCCACTATGGTTCCCCCTTGAGACCCAGGCCATTTCCCTTCCTTACAAGGACATGGGGCCGTTTGGGCAGAAACATATGGGGGGAACTATTCGTCCAGCAAGGTTAAAAAAGGACCTTCCGCCTGTCAACATGATCTTAGCACCCGTTGCCTCACCCCCCCCCACCCCCACCGGCTGGTTTCCTTCGAATACCACAAGACGGCCTCATTTCGGTCTTACTAATTTCGGATGACACCTGGACTCCACCAACGACACTGGACCACACCTTTGGTCATCTTTCTTGCTGTTAACCCTGACTTCTATCTTCTCGAGGTGCTAAACAAAGGACTAGCCACAGGGCGCAGGGGAAGTAGACAACTTGCCAGCTTAGCGGAAAAGAAAACACTGAACCCCTCTGAAGTGAGCTTTTCCCCTAGCGACTCTTCTTGAGTTTCGCCAAAACGGCCTTGGGTGTTCTTCATACCCAGCCAAATGGGTATGGATCAAAACCAAACCATCAGGATTGGACCGCAGGTTTTAGTCCATGTTTCCATGGGCAAGCTAGTTTGGGGTTGCGCGCTTTTTTGTGACCCACAGCAAGCTGGTAAGTGGTGAGTCACTTGGGGTATAACCCCCATGGTTAAGACCACTGACACTGAACAGGGGACGAAAGAACGTGGGTTATATCGTTGCTCTCTGGCAACTTACTAACTTGGTAACGAGCACCGAAGTAAGGTACCATTGATCATTTTTTCCATCAAACTTGATTCTTAGGGTCCTCGGACTTTCTTTGCCAAAGGGAGACCCCGTGCAGTGGTTACGGGAATGGCCCATTTCGGTATCACAGAAAGAGTGTACTTTCCGCTAATGTGGGTGTGCCTGTCTCAGGGCACCCCACAAAATAATAATGGTCCTTTTGGTTTCCCTGGGGGCAGGCGGGGGGCACCACATGTTCTCCAGTCGTGGGTGGGGTCCCATTTTCACTGAAAGTCCAATCTGCCATCACTTTGTGGCAAGAGTTGGTTGAAATTCCGGATGTCCAGCTGAAGGTAGCCTCTTTCTCGGCTTCGGCTGGCCGAACCCCCCCGCAGCTGAGGACCAAGCAACTTGAGTGGATGGGCCAAAACAGTCAAAACGTTCTATCTATCACTAAAATGGCCTTCCCAAGTATAAAGTCCAGAAATAAAGTCCAGAGACTCAGGAAGTGAATTCATGGGCGGCGCCGAAACGTGGCGTACCGGCCTCCCAGTGGGATTGCACTGCCTCCAGCTTGGACTTCACCAACTCACTGGGGGAGCCCAGGATGTTGCGAGTCGCGTTCCCCACTAAAAGGGCGTGCCTTGGGCCGCGCGCGACACCCCCCGGTAGAAATGGCAGGAAGACTTATTGAGACAAACAGGTTGGGGCCGGGGGGTAGTGTTTCTGACAAAGACATTTTTCGAGCAAAATCGACCATACCCATACCTGCAAAGGGTTCACTTTTGACATCTTTTTTTGTCGCTCCTATCCCGCAGCAAACAAGAGAAGACTAAGTAGTCATGAAGCTTAAGTTAAAGCACATCATGTCTTGAGGCAGCAAAGTTTTACGCTGTTTTTTGATTTTTCAAGAACAAACACACCTGTTGTGACTTACACCCGAAAGTTTGAAGGGGACCTTCACAATGTCAGTCCCACCTCAGTTTGACTGCGAGTTTCGCACTGTGACTGACACCCGAGTTGTTGAAGGTGCCTTTCATATTGCAAATCACACGAGAAAGGTTTGAAGGTGACATAATGATGTGTTGTTGAAGATTTGTCGAACTGTCAACTTGTGACTGCGAAGGGTACTTTCGAGGACAACACATGCAAACAAGTTGGCAGATGGCCGCGCGTGCCATTTGCTATGTGCCACTTGCTTGGTGATTCACTTCATAGTAATACAACCTACAAATCTTTTAACAGCTCTCTCCCTGAGTGGATGGGCCCAAAAAAGTCCAAACTTTTCGAGTGCAACTAAAATGGTCCTTCCAAACAAGTACGTCCAGGAACTCAGCAAGTGAGACACGCTCAACAAATGTCGACGCATGTCTACAGGAAACCGGGGGTTCAAATCCCCAAGCCACAAATCCAAACCGCCAGCTGAGCAACTCAATTGTTGTCCAACTGACTTGCGTGAAGAGGCCCAGAAGCAAAAGGTTTAAATTGTGGGACCTTGTCCAAAACACGTACCAACATGGAAAAAACACAAAAGGTCGAAAGGAACGCGCAAAAAAAAGGAACAAAAACAAACAAACAAAACAAACAAAAAGAGAAAACAAACAGACAAACAAACAAAAAGAGAAAACAAAAAAATGAGGAAGACAAAAGAAAGCGCGAAACACGGCCTTTAAGTCCGGAAAAGGCCGCAAGGTCTCCTCGAAGACCTGAATGTCCTTGGGCAAAGCAGCCTGAAGGGCTCGAGGCCAAAATGACTTCGGACCCCAATTTGTGGCGAGTGGTTTGCCTGGAAACCCACCAGGTATCCTGAACAAATCAATAACACACACAGGAACATACTCTTCAATTTCCATATTCTCATCTTGTCAGGTTGTCATTGTCCAGGTTGGTCCATTTCAATACGCGCACCAGATGCAAAGCCGCAACACGCAAAGAAAAAACAAAAAACAAACTCGAAACCAAAACATGACAGCGCCTTGTGTTTCTCCGCCTCGACGCCTAAGGCGATCAAGGCGACTTCCTTCACCAACTTCTGACAGATGATCCTTGCGAGGGAAATCGACTTCCCTCCATGCAAGAATCACCTGACCAGTACCTCATTTCAGCTTCCGATCACTTGGACTCCGAGAAAAAGAAAAACACAAAACGGTCCCTGTCAACCCAAGGAACCACTGCAATTGTCCGTAAGCCGACGCGGTTTGGGCACAAGCGCTTGGAGGCTGGTCCAGTGGATCTCTGGCAACCCACAGAGTTTAGCAAAATCCTACCCTTGGGGGTGGTGAGTTTGTTCAGAGGCTCGGAAAGACTGACTTCCAAGCTTTCCGTGTCCGGCTCTCGAAAAGCGACAGGGATTCAGTTGCAAACACCGAGATACCTACAGAGGGCAAGGTTGAAGTGAGGGAAAAGGTCGGAAGGGAACAACACAAGCTGTGTTGGAGCCCTTAGGTCGAAAAAATGCGGGAGGCACAAGAACGAAGACAACAGGACAAAAAGTCCATGGAGCTGTCTCATGTTTGGTTGGCAAACGTGGCACACCCCATTTTGTCAATGGAGTTTGTCCCACACAGACACGGGGAATCGTCAAGATGGCACCAAAGTGGCACCGCCCTGTACCAACAAACCAGACCGAATTGAATACCAAAGGTGGTTAAAACTAAACCATGGTTAAAAACTTGATTAATCACCACTATGTTAAACCATTTTGAGGGATTTTTGGTTCGGCATGGTTAAAAACTAAACCATGGCTTAAACACACGTCCAATGGTTTTGTTTCCACTTGGTCCCTGGTTTTGGCGACGCGACCCGACTGGACTGTCCTTTGCTCGCTGGCGGCCAAAATGGTTGGGGTCCACTCCACCGCCAGGGCATGGCTGGCCACTGCCAAGAAGCGCCACATCAAATTCGCGGCCTGCGAGCAGCTCAGTTCAGTGACCCTGGAAAAAAAGGGAACCCTTTTCTTGGGAAGACCATTTTTAGTGGGGCAGCCACCAGAAAAAAAAAAAAAAAAAAAAAAAAAAAACGGGGCAAAAGGGTGCCACTGAACAACTGAGGCAGGTAATGGGGGGGCGTGCCACTTTAGTGGGGTGCAGACCACTGTTGGAGGGAGCAACTCCCTATTGATAGGACGCGTTGATTCATCTGGGCTCAACATTCCCCCTGGTTGGTGGTTTGGATTTGGATTTGAACACCACGCCCTTTTGAAGCATGGGGAAGGTACCCCCTTCTCCAAACCAAACGAAACCACCAATTGGGGGTAAGGTGAAACGAGTATACTGGGTTCACCTGCTCCTTCGATCCCAACCGTTGTTCTTTCCAGAACTCAACTGGTAAAATGCAGGTCAAAATACAGGTTTGTAGTAATCCGGGTCCCCTGGAAGTTTCGGTCTACCCCGAGCCATGTAAAGAAATAGAAAGGCGGCGAATGCGGACTATCCCTTGCCAACCTTTGTCTAGGCTTTGATTGTGGCTCAAGTGCGGTAGTGTCAGTGTAGGTGTTCATAAGGATAGCCGGCTGCTTTTATCCACTAGTACCTGCACTTGCAAGATGAAATAACCAGGCCGCATGGGACCCAGTAGCTTGGCACTTCTTTGGGCCAGGCCGGTCTAAGAATTGCAACCTCCATGTGTAGAGTTTGCGCAGGCTTCGCATTTCAAGTGACCTGTATATGTTCTTCAACACTGGTGCACTTGTCTTTTGGGTAAGCTTGACCCCTAATCAATCTTAACAATGTGTGGGTGTGTGTGTATATGTGTGTCACCTCTCAATGCGATGCAAACTCCAACTAAAAGGTAACAGCAGTCAGCTAGGTTCCTGCTTATCCTGACTTAACCAGGAAGCGAAAGAATGTCTGAATCACTAATTTTAAATCTGCAGATCAGGCGAACCCCCCAAACAAATCGCCCATTCCCAGATTTGCCAACGGACGTGTGCCCTAAAATTCATATCACTTTTGAAGGGTGCTTGAGGTGGTGCTAAAAAGGAGACCTGCCATTTCTCCTGACCTCACCTTTCACGGGGCTTGAAACCTGCACCGATGGCTTGCTTCCTCGCATTGAAGCCCAAAACGACGCCGAACGGACAAACAATTCCAGGCTTCCGGCTTGGTCTCATCTTTTTTCAGCAACAGGGTGCTGCTCAAAATTGGGGGTGGTCCTGCAGGTGTCCAAATGTTGGCTTCCTTTGAAAACGATGCAAACAGGGGTCCCCTATTTTGAGACACAACGTGTTGTGCTTCCAACTTCAACAGCTGAAAAACAAATTGGCCGGACCTCCCGAGCAAAAACTTCAGCCCCTCCCGCGCGCATCAGGGGCCCCCGCGCCTATACGCTGCTGGCCCCAGGCCCGCCGTCCGGAACGGACGGGAAAACAAATCCAAAGGCTGCGGGAATCACACGACTTGCCCTCAGATCTGCTAAAAGTTTAACTTGTGGGTTAAAATGGAAGCCACGAAACACTAAAACGCCAAAAAGCTAACAAACCGGATGGCTGGGAGCCACGAAGACACGACGTGCGGATGGGAACAGAAACGGAGCAGAAGCCACTGGGGGGTGATGGAAAAGTCCTTTCATGTCCTTATGGGATAACCACTACTAGGTCCTCCAGTAGAGAGGGTAGAATAAGGGTACCAACTTTTTTCTGTCGATTTAGGGGAACCCTCCCCATAAAAGGGTAAAAGGGTACTACTGGGGGACCTAGATTAAGGAACCCACAAAAAAACACCTTCACCACAAAACGGGACAAGTAACCCGTGGTCATTTGAGGGCCAGAACTATTGATCAACGCCCACGCCAAAGGTTCGACGCCTTAGCTTTTCAGAATCCAGCTCGTCCCAGCCCTTCGGTCAGCAAGACTGTCTCTTTGTGGTATACCCTTTTTTCGGGATTGGTTTTAAGAGAACGGAGGAAATAGTTTCCACTACTCGCAGGGGTTTAATGGGACAGCCGACGAGATAGCCGCCATATCAAGGGTACACCCAATCTATCCTGGTAATAGCTTCGGTCTGCAGGTGGCAGAACCCATCTTCGACCTTTCTCTTGCAATCCTTGCCCTGTGGCCATCACCTCACAATGGATCCTGGGCTGCTGAAAGCACAGTTTAAGCCCGAGGTTGGGTTCCCCGTGTTTGGTAGGTAAGCACAAGTCAAGGCCTTCAATCATGACAAACCCATATCCTTTGCAAATCTAGCCTTCAAACAAGCGTTTTTTTTTTTTTCCCCGGAGGGAACAGGGTCCAAACAAAACCTTCTACCCTTCCAGTCCGCAGCGAGCCCTTCAAGGATGACATCTTCTCTCGCACAACATCCGGGGTCAGCACTTTGTGCCCCACAATGAGCCTCAGCTTTGGGCTCCGGCTATGGGTTGTCCAACAATCACCCCACTGCACAGACTCAAGCCCAATGATGTCAAAGAGGAACCCGAGGGTTCACAAACCCTGGGATTCCCGACAAACGGTAAGGAACAACAACCCCAAACTTTTACGGCTGAGTTCATGTCTTTGACACCGTTTGAAGAAGTCCAAACTCTGTACAAAGTTGCCGTCTTGGAAAACGGTTTCTTTGGAGGACTCCCCGTTCACCTTCCACGATTGGAAAAAGGGCCGTGCTACAATCTGGTTCTCACGCGTCAAGTGTGCTCTGCAAAAAGGGTGCCACCCCTTGAGCCGGAATTTCGGCGGTTCAAGCACTCATCCTGAGGACCAAGACCCTTCGCGAGTAAACCAGAAAAGGGTTGGTTTCACAAAGTGGGCTTCTAATCCCCGAGCCGACAAAGGGGTACGGTGGATGCCCTAATTGCAAGTAAACCAACCACGCAAACACACACACATAGACAGACACAGACGCAGACGCAGACGAAGAAGCAGACACTGCTATAGACACCCATTCTTCATATTTAGTATACCGTCCGCTGTGCAAAATAGTTTTGCAGATCCCAAAATCCAAACCACGGATAAAGCTGGGTCCCTTGCAATGAGCACATTGAGCGATCCTCAAAATTCCATTCGAACCGCCCAAGGACAAATAATAATGGATGTCACTGTCATGGACCCGGATGCTGAATTTGCTCAGTTGATTGGCCGGAACAAGCTCAAACTTTTTTCGGCCCTTGCAAAATAATGAAGAAACACGCCAAGATGAAAAGTGCTTAAAGTTTGCCAACTCGCCTGGCAAAGGGGAACGTGATCTTCCGTGCATGCCGTGTTTTCTTTCTGGTTTTCTTGCAGGGAACCCAGGGTGTGTCGGGAATGAACCGTTTTGGGATTCCCTTCAAAACCAAATAAGGCAGAATCTCCCAAATAAACCGTTTAGATTTAGGATTCCCCCGTTTAGGATTCCCTTTTTGGGCTTTTTTGTTGTCGATTTGGAAACCAAAGCAGGAATGTGTTTTTGTTCTTTTTTTTCCGGGGTTCCATGTCACCTTCCCTCTGTCGGGGTGCTGCTGGTCACCCGCCGCGGGGCCGCCCGCGTCGGCGATGGCCGCCTGAAAAACCAGTCGAAGGTAAGCCGCAGGGTCCAAGAGAGCGCACCAAACTTGGGAGGGTATCAAACTCAGAACTGGCACACGGTTTTTCATGGTATTGTTCCTTTGTTACACCTGGAATTAGAATGATCATGGAACCTGCATCAGCGCGTTCTCCCAAGCGAGCTCGCCAGGTAGGGACAGCACCTTGCAGCAAATTGCTTTTCTCCATGTTCAAAATCCCAAGCACGGTCCAAAACGCATACTCAAAAAGGGATAGACAGGCATAAGCAGCCCATCTCCAATGAGGGTGCTGAGGTTCCTGCCATTTGCTTAAGCCCCCTGGAAGAAATAAACACAAAAACCAGTAGTGATAGATTCCCTTCCAGACCAACAGGATAAAATTATTATTATTATAAGTAAATTTTAAAAAAATAATGGAAGTCAGCTGAGGGGCCTTCATGGGCGAGATTGTGCCGGAGAGGTCACAAAACCATGGCCCCTCGAACTTTAAGCAAACGGACAGGTCCCCGGTCTCTCGCTCCGCGAGCGCTCGCTCCGCGCCTTGAGCGCCAGCACAGGCCTCTCGGCCTCCATCTGCAGCTCAGCCACCAGGGCGCCCGAGAGGCTGCGCACGCTCACCGAGACCTGCGCCTCCGGATGAAACCGAAAACCCCGGCTTCGGGGGGAGGAGGTCACCTAAGCTCCGGGCCTCATTCGTCTCCTCCTCCACCGGCGCCATAGCGTTGTGGCTCCGATTCGGCCGCTCGAGCAAAGGTCGGCCAACCTTCGGTTCGTCAATTGCCTTGTTGGGGTCCCGAACCCAGCAAAACACAATATAGAGGGCTCAAGTACCCCAACAAGGAAATTATAGGGTCCGAAAATAGTCCGAAGACACAATTGTTCAAGTGTTTCCTTGTTACAAGGTCCGAAGACATGATTATATAGAGGGTTCAAGTACCCTTTCAGATTCGGACTTTCGGGGCTTAGACGAGTGCCAATGAGAATGTTGTGGGACCTGGGTTCATGCTGTTGGAACCCACCTTCTCAGGCGAGTTGACCTAACATCCAGGCCGTTGGAGTTGTTGGATAAAGCCCGAAAGCTCAAAGTTACAGCTAAGCGCTTCCTGAGGAAGTGCCAAATCCCGCCCTTTCACGTTGCAGTTGCAGCAAGTTCGTGCGGGTCAATGAGTATGTCGGTGACCCTGCGGAAAAAACTTGACTTCGCTTCCTCAGTGGATGGGCAAAAAAGATCAAGCACTAACATGGTCTTCCCACATGCTCAAAAGTCCTCAAAAGTCCATGAGCTCAAGAGTTGTTTTGAGCTGTTCGGGTCAAATGACCGCACATTGGAGGTCCAAACAAGGGCTGCTTCCGCGTTCTCTCGTGTGATTTCCTTCCCCAACCATCTTCCGAAGGGTCACTGCCTCAAACTCGGGCCCAGCATAAGTCTGCCAGACATCAAAGCCGCCCACATGGCCGCCTTCTTTTCTTCTCGCCAAATGCAGACGACCGAGCCAGCAAGGAGAGATGCGCCTTTTGACAGGCTTTGCATTCGGGACGGCCAACACGAGATCCTCTGATTCCTTCTCGATGTTCACTCCTAAATGGCTGTGGGTCAAAACCCTGCACTGGTGAACATCAACATAGGTGGATGGATGTTCATCCACCCCAAAATGGGATCGCCATAGGTTATGTATAGCCAAATGACAAATCCTTTTGGAGAACACCCCTTGCGGCGCGGCATCTGAAAACCCGCTGGTCTGAAACATCAGTCAGCACGGAAGCAGATAGACCGATGCCAAAAAAGAAATGCAACATCTTCGGCACATGCGCTTAATTTAAACAAGCGACCTCACGCATGTCAATACCTCGCCATGCGGAACGGGAGACACCTGCTGACACTTCCCGCCTTTGTTGCTCCAGGTGCCACTACAAAACAACTGTACTTGTACTTTGTCCTCACAAAACTCCTGAAAGCTCCGAAAGGTGTTGTCTTGAAAGGCAAACTTGGACAAGTCACGCATTTTCGGGGCTGCTACCCTCTCCCTCTTGATCGCTGGCTTGGTCAATTTGTGCACGAATCCATCGGCTTGCTGCCGTTGGCAGGGCTGTTCCCCTGGCATGTTTGCTAAACGATCACCTTTGGGACCTTGACTGCAAATGAACAAAAACCAAAAAGCCAAAAGATGAAAAGGTCGATTCGCAACTGCGACAATTGCATTTAACCTCTTTTGTTCGGACTTTTTTTGTTTGGGCTTCCCTTAAGAAGACAGATTCGTGGCCCAGCCCTGATGGTGAAAGTTGCAGATTCGCCCGGCCAGTCGATTCCAAGGTGTCCTTCCCTCGTAGTTTTTCGTGGGAAACGAAGAATTGGCCCAGATGTGCTCAAAGAGCAGTCAAACAGCCTACAGGCCTATTGACTCAAGAGGTGGATGTTGAAGGGAGAAACCCCTCTCCCCCCAAAAAATAAAGAGAGGAGAAAACAGGAGGCAACCAAGTGAAAGTCTGGGCCTGTAATTGATCTCCTTTCTGGGAAGAAACCCCAACCTGAACAAGTCACAGAAGACTGGGGACCGAAGTGTTTATAGTTCGCACTGCTGCTCCAACAGCTTGACAGCAACCCAATTGACTCTCGCTGCCGACGCCAATGAGCAAGGCACTGGAGTAACATAGAAGCCATAGAAGCCGCACCCCTGGATGCCACCAGCCAGACTTCACCTGATTCCGTGCCTTGGCTTCCCTCGTGCACTGCTGGTGCCTTTCTCGGCTTTTCATGGACCTTGTTTTAGGACCCCAAGTAAGTGCCCATGCGACACACTGTTCCCCATTGTCAGAGATCAAAAACAGAGAGAGTAAAAGTCACGCACAACCCCGATCCAACCGATCCAACAGAACATGTGTAAATATACGCAAGCCTTTTGGTTTATTCAACACAGTGAAAGCCCCGCAACCCTCAATACCGATAAACTTGTAACATGCTCATTGTTTTGCTGATGCTTTGTCATTTTGTAGCTTTGAATATGTTTGTTGGGGGGGGTCTTTTTTAGAGGCTGCCCTTTTTCTGTTGGTTTAAGGGAACCAAAAGGAAACCCCCCATATGGTGGGGTTCCCCTCTATTTTGAGACAACCGCGAATGCGCTCAACAAATGTAACATGTCAGAGGGAAGACGTTTCGATCGACTCCCAACAGCCCACAGCCCACATGTAGCATGCGTCCGCTGGTTCCAAACGAAAGGCCGGGCTCATGCAAATGCGCGGTGCGCCACGAGCGACTCCATCGGGTGTCCGTTCTTTACTCGGAAAGGAACAGGTTGCACGGATGATTCCCTAAGTGGGTCTGAGTCCGGCAAAGAAGTCATGCCTTCAATAAGCAGCTCGTGATTTCCCCAAAGCCCGAGAGTCTGCAAACAAATTTTGGCACTCGGACGTACGTTGCTCGCCGGACATTCAACGGACAACCCCAACGTGTCGCGGGTGCATTCCCCCATGCACACGGCCAAGCTGAAGGAGATGCTCAGCACAAAGGCTCGGCCAAGCCGTGCCTGGCAGTTGGACGTAGATTGTTTAAAAAGACATCAACAAGGCACATTTTGAAGAATCTGGGCAAGAGATACTCAACAGGACACATGTGACCTGGGTCAATCACCGTCTTGGCTCCAAAACCTTCCAGAGGTGTCCAAAAAGACCCCCTTTAATGGGTCCACTGTGTGATAATTCACCTGGAGAGAAATGAATGCGAGGATCTTCACGACTCGCTGGTTTGATCCAAAAGTGCCCAGACCGAATTTGAGGTCGCCCGGTTGGTGCCTAGTTCGCCCTGCCCCAGATCTCTCAGCCAATTCTCTGTTGAGTTCCCAGATGTGATTTCACATAGACCCGCATGGGTGAACTCCAGGGCTTCCAACTTGTTACCAATGCAAAAAAGCTCCAAGTGACCTACCCGCGCCACTTGCATGGAAGCTGGCGGAAGACCCCGTTATGTCCCCATTTAGAAGAACATGGTGAAAAACCAAGTATTCGTTGATCCTTGTGGTAAGAGGGGTCGAAAGGGTTGGGCCACCCCCCCTTGTCCAAGCCACGTTTAAGCCACTGCTAACGTCCCTTTCGGATGCCTTTGAAGTTGATCTGTTTGAACGCTTGTTTCCCATTGGCCCAAGCCTACAAAAACAAACGCTGGCAATGGAAAGACATCCGTGCCTCTCCAAGGGACCAGCGTGCGAATCCAAAGATTCCGCTCGCACCCCGCGAGCGAACCGAAGGTCCTCAGCCAGAGAAACACGAGGCCGCTGAAGAGGTCACCCCATGGATTCTTTTCGAAGGAAACCACACCCTTCTGGCTTCACAAGTGGATCCCCCAGCCCAACCCCACTGGCAAAAGCTTCTTGGGGATCGCACGAAAGGCCTACTTCGCCCTTCTTCCCCGGAAAGTCAATAGAAAGCAATATCTTGCTAGGCGTCTCTTCGAGCACTATTGCAAAATGTTTGGGCTTGTTCTTTGGTGCCTTGCTTCGTGCCACAAGCACATCACATGTTTGTATCTAAGTGGGTCTTCCTGAGTCAAATATCTCAGCTTGTGGATGTCATCGAAAAACACTAATTCCAAAGCATCTAAGGGGCTCCGCCAAAGCCCAGCCATTGCTGCGTAGTCAAATCAATGCCTTGAAAACACATACAAGGGAACAAGACACATGCGCTCCAAGTTGTACCATTGGGATCCGATTCGTGCCCCTTTAACATTTATGGAGAACTGGGCTGTCCTCAGATGCCCTTAAAGCTCGACGTTTAATGGGTCAAATTGAAACTACCGCTAAACCCTTGAAGCCTGAACAACCAAAAAACAAAAAAACAAAACGGGACTGTCGTGGAATACCAAGCCAACAGCCCCTTTACAAGCCAACGGCCCTTCCCGGCGCCTTTCTCCAAAGCCAAGGCTTCAAACCCCAATCCAAACCACCAACTAAGGGTTTGAGTGGAAACCAGCAGGAAACGAGCCATGGTCGCAAACTCCCTCAACCTTGAGCTCGCAAATGAATTTGCCCTTTTTGATAGGGTCCCAATCGCCTCACTGAAAGTGTAACCCAACACGGCTCAGCACAAACGCATGAGTAGTGAATGCTGACCCGATCACAATCACCCCAAGGCATTTGGGTAGCCCTTACAGCCCCAGTGTAGACAAGCCACCGGGCCCCAGCTTGAGCATAGATCCTCACTCTGCCGCTCCGGCATTCTCACCGCCTGCAGTCTCCTCCGATGCTGGCAGCATATCCACATCCGGACTTGTTCCCGCAGCCACCTCTACTGGATCTCCACCTTTCTCTGCGCTGTCCTCAGCCGCAGTCTCTTCAGCCGCTGCATCGTCAACAGCTGCTGCATTGTCGCCAACGACTGCGTCAATCGCACAGGCAGCGTCCTCAGCAGCTGCATTGTCGTCAACAGCTGCGTCAGCCGCACAGGCAGCGTCCTCCGCAGCTGCATTGTCGTCAACAGCTGCGCCAGCCGCACAGGCAGCGTCCTCCGCAGCTGCATCGTCATCAACAGCTGTGTCAGCCGCACCGGCAGCGTCCTCCGCAGCCGCATCTTCGTCAACAGCTGCGTCAGCTGCACAGGCAGCATCCTCCACTGCATTTCCATTCTTGTCCGCGGACATGTCATCTTCAGCTGCAGCGCCACGATCATCCGCTGCGCTTTCAGTGCCAGCAACGTCAGCTTGGCCAACGTCAGCAGAAGCCTCGGTGCCGTTGCCTGCATCCGCTGAGGCATCCTCTGTGCTGCCATGGCCAGCATCCGGAGCCATGCCATCCTCCGGCACGCTGCTGGCTGCTTCCGCAGCAGCACCATCGGCAGCTTCATCATTGCCAGCTGCGCCATCTGGAGCGACATCATGTTCAGCGTCGTGATTGCCTGCAGCACCATTCTCAGCTGCTGGCCGGGCTGAGTCCTGCAACAAAATCTCGAGCAAAGGTTGGTGACTTCTGTTGCCCTCTTGAAAAGAGCTGGGTCTTTATGTTCAAGCCTCCGTTGTTGGAGCAACCTTCTTCAGCTCGTTCAATCGGAGCGAGCCCGACTTCACTTATTGTGCTCAAACCTGGCTAAACATAGACCCAAAAGGGACACCCAAAAGGTGAAACAAATGCTTAGCTTTTGACAGACGTGATTCCATGTGAATGTAGGCAGGGCAACCACCTTTTCAGCAACTCAAGTTGCTCAAAATGGGGTAGTTATCTATCCAAGTGACTCCATTTACAGGTATAGTAAGTAACTAAGGGAACCACCCTTGAACAACCAAAAGGCAAATTGTTGGATACCAGATGTATTCTTCCCCCGTCCTCCGTGGGAGTTGGAGCCGTCGGCTCACACGCACCCGCCTGAGCCTGAAGCGAAGGAACCCCCAAACCCGCGCCCTCGAACGGTTGGCTGCAGAAGTCAGGTACCTCTTAATCTCACTTGCTGAGTGGCCAAGAAGTCCAAACTGCGTATTTACCACTGAAACGGTCTTCCCCAACAGTTTGAAAGTCCAGGAACTCAGGCAGTGAGTAAATTGATGGTGTGGATTGGACTTTTGTGGGTTTGAGCCCCACCTCCTCTTGAATGCAAGTGGGGAAGGGCCCCCTAACGTCCAAACCACCAACCCAAACCACCAATTAAGGGTCAGCTGATCAAGCGTCTGTGTGCTAAATAGGCATGCATCTGAAGCATGTTGTCCAATGAAACTCGAACACCTCAATATTAACTAGGTCCTCCAGTAGAGAGGTTCGAACAAGGGCCAACTTTTTCTGCAGTCTATTTTAGGGGAACCCTCCCAACCAAAAACGAAACGGTAAAAGGGCACTACTGGGGGACCTAGTTAAGCATCTTCAAATTGTATCTTTTGCGTCGGCGAACGAAAAACCAATTCGCCTCCAATCGCTTGAGAGCCTCCTCCAGGCCTGGCAAAGCATCGAAAAACCCGGATCTAAGTACAACCCCCGGTTGAATTCAATGGCAAAGTGTCCCCTGTTTGTGGAGCACCCCCTCCCCAATGTTTGATAGCGCGGGTTTGGATGAATAAACGCTGACATGGAACCCACCGGAGAAATGAACGTCAACCCCGCCATTTGCTGAAGTCCCCTCGACAAAACGGCATGTATTTGCAGTAGTCATTAGAACAGGACAACCCACAGACACAAACACACTCTTAAGCAAATGGAGGAACCTGAAGGGCTGGAGAGTTCCACAAAAATCAGTTTCCCGCTGATTGGTGGTTCGGGTGGGTGGTTCAAGATCGCCACGCTTCTGAGGGGAGGTTTGAGGGTTCATTCTTCCAGCCCACTTTCCTCCCTTAAAAGGCACATGCGGGGAAGCCATATCTTCCCAAAGAGCCAAACATTCCCAAAATATGGCTGGGTATTTGGCTACCTGTCCCACACCCTTAGGCCCTTGTGATTCCATGATCATGGTGGGTACAAGGAACCACGGGGTGTTGACATGGCCCAATGCCCAGGGTGCCCTCCGGAATCCAAGGCACCTGACCCCCTGGTTTTCCCAAAGAACTGACGGGCGCGCAGTAACATTTGTTGTGGCCCTATATGATACACTCCTGCTTGAATGAACGTGAAACCTCAACGCTTTTGGAGGAGTCTTCTTGTGGATTCCATATTTAGAAAGTTTAGGGTTCCAGGTCGACTCTCCACAAAGGCAAATGTGAGAAACTGTTCGGCAGGACCACTGCCACAATTTACAGCTCAGTTGCTGAGGTTTTGCCTGGGAGAAACCAAACTGCCAACAATAATAAGTTGAATGCACGTCTCAGAAGGCTGGGGCCTGCGTTGTTGTGAATGGTACCTCTCCGTTCTTTCCACATATGCTGCTTCAGCGAGCATGCAACCACATCAGATTGTTGACTGATTTCCAATGAACCATGTGATGCCTAGCACTCAATCTCCATCGCCCTCCAATTGACTTCGGAGAATGACCTCTATCGCAGCCATAGTAATTCGGTGAGCGGGGGCCCACATCATGCCCCTAAAAAGTCAGTAAACAATCACGCCACTACCCCCCACCGAGTTGGAAAACGTGCCCCTCCCTCTGTAGTATTGCCCTTGTAAGCACGTGAAGGGAGCATGTATGGGGATGGGCATTTTGCTGGTCCCGCTGCCATGCATCACATTGAGGCAGAAATCTTAGTTAAAGGGCCAGGGTACAAAGGTCGTAAGTTTAAGTATCTTGTAACCAATGACTACCAACCCCTATACCAGACCAGGTCCTCCATTAGAGAGGTTAGAATAAGGGTACCCGTTTTTCTGTGGTCTATTTTAGTAGGGGAACCCTCCCCCAAAAAAGGGTAAAAGGGCACTACTGGGGGACCTAGCAAACATACCCTGCCTGCCGGGCCGGGAATGTGCATGGGAGATGAGCCTTTTGAATGCCCGACTCTGGCTGAGGTGACTGTGACGTGCACTGTGCATCGCAGCAGCCCGCGAGGCATTCGGCCGGGAGTTACATGGTTCGACCCCCTCCTCTGAAGCGGGGTCGCCAAAGCCCATGTGGCTGCGTATCGCAAACTACTCCCATACAGATTCACATGGAACAAAAAAAACATTTGAAGACTCCTGTTGGGGGACCCGCTTTCCTGTCTGGTCAACTGAAGCAGGCCATACAAGCTTGATTTCATGCTCAACATGGGGCATTTGCGGGAATCCGTTAACAGGTGATCGGCTCATTTCAAGGGCACTCCTTCGCTTCCTAAGTTGGAGTAATCCGAAAACAGATTACTTCATTTGAGGCGTGGAAAGTCGCAGAATTGGCCGAGAGGCGGCCCAAGTGAACCGCCGCAGCCGCGGCCGCAAAAGACTCCCTCCGAAAGCCCTGCGGGGCGGTCTGTACAGCGGTCGGCGTTGGCTTTCCCCGCAGGGAAAGCTCGCCGACCGAGGTCCCGCGCTACGCCCAAATTCCACCGCCACAACGGGCCTATGGTCTTTGATTTCACCCCAGAGGGCCCCTTGGTACAAACGCACAAGGCACGGGGCATGTTAGTGTGTATTTAACTTGGTCTATGTGGGCTAACATGATGCTCAATTTCTGCAAATATATTGAAATACGTGTACACAGTGTGGCATAATGTTCAATGAGTGCGTGTGTGTGTACATATTTATGTGGCTATCTATAGTCCATATCTACATTTGTTTATTCATTCTCGAGGTATGCAAACAATACAACAACGCTCCACTACTCCCTTCTGAGTGGATTCCAAAAAAGTCCAGGCTGTTTGCTTGAACTGATCTGCCCACAAAATGTTCAAAGTCGAGAAACTGGTCTCCCCGGGAAGCCGTGCTCTCATTCACTTGCCCAAAGGACCTGGAAACAAAGGGTAAACATGACGGCCATGCAACTGGGCCAAGCCAAAAGTGAAGAGGTCGATTCGTTTTGGGCAAGTGAGCCTAATTAAGGAGACCCTCTGGGTGCCACAATAGGCGCAAGCTCACGTGACGGCCTGGCGGGTGTCTTTGTAAGCCGGCTGACCATTTTCTCAGCTCAGACGACCCAGAAAATGAAGAGTTGTCAATCTTTTGGGGGCCAGAATGGACCAAAACAGCGGAAAACCAAACAAGTAAACGGAAGACTTGCGCTTGCGCGAAGCAACCCGCGAGCCTACGGCCGTCTATGTGTCGAGGCCCACGTCCGCTAGGAAACGTTGGCCGTGTCTCTTTGCCTCCAGAGCTCCCCGGTTTCGCCTTAGCGCTGGTTCGAAACCGGCCAAAGAGGGACACAACCGGCCGTATATATAAGAGGGTGTCCAGCACTTGGGATTTGGAACATCAGCAAGGGCGGAAATCCGCACCTATTTACAACTGAATTGCCCCCGCTAGGCCTCACTTACTAGGGGTTTGATTGTGATTGTGGCCCGTTTGCAAATGATATTTAATGGGGAACCCCTTCAAAAGTAGTTGGCGGACAATCAACATGTTGAACCCCCTTTTGGTGTATATTCAATCAAAATCCAAAGGAAGCCCTTGGCATTTTGTTAGGGGGCCGATTCCTCTTTTGAGTAACTAAAGCGTCCCCTCTTGAAATTCACCCATTTCAGCCTCCCCATGCCTCACCCAGGTGTTGTTCTCAAAAATTGCGCACCCCCATATTGCTATATGGAAATCAACCGGCAACCATCAAAGACATCCTTTAGATGGTAGGTTTTTCAGGAACACGACAGTGCCCGACTTTGATTGCCAGAAACCCTCAGACATTTTGACCCCAGTCGGAGTCTGGGAGCCATGACCCTTTGCGGATCCGAAACCACCCGCAAATTGATCCACTTCCGCCCTGGAGAACTCTGTTTTTTCGTGACTCCCAGTTGAGGAGGGCCCTGACTGGACCTCCAGTGGAGAGGTTTGAGGTTTAGGGTATTTACTTGTTGTTGTTTTTTTTCTGTAGTTTATTTTAGTAGGGGAACCCTCCCAGGCAAAAAAGAAACGGGTGATTTGGCACCAATCGCTGGGGGACCTCGCCTAGGCGGCCCGGAGCGAGCCAAACCCACTTTTCGGCGAGAGGCTGCAGCAGCTGGATCACCTCCGGGGTCCTGACGCGCTCATCTTGCAGCAGCGCCCGTGCCACGTAGCAGCCATACTGTTCCATGGCCAGCCTCGGGGTCCGGGAGCGGGACGAAACCGCATGGTCGGTTGCCAAACCAAAAATGCCGTCATATAGAACCTACAACGATGGAAATAGAGGGACCCGCTGTGGCAACATGTGGATTCTGGGATCAACAAGGGCGGGTACCAACACTGCTCCTCTCAGCTGGTGCTTGCTTCGGCTCCAAAGTACATCATGTCATGCGTGTAGCGCCCTACCCAGTTGCTCGAAAAACCCAAAAAAGGTCGAAATTGGATCCAAGATTTGGGACGATTCATCCATCGTGCTTTGCGGCCTGAAGAGGAGGATTCCTGAGACTGGGGAGCGGCTAAAGATTCCGCGAGACCAAAACCTCACCGGCCAAAGCGAATTGACTTTACCTTTCAGTTCCCCTTTTGGCCCATTTTCAGTCACGGCCCCAAAATTATCCTATAATATGTCTGGGTCCCCAAACGGTATCTGAAAAACCGCTCATTTCTTGGCCCTTTCACTTTTGAGGCAAGGTTTGAGCACCGTCTTGCACTGGCCTCTTAGAACGCGCCGTCACCCCCAGCATCCTAGTGCCAGTCTTGCCTTCTGTTCTTGGAGGGGACAAACCCCTTCAAACAGCATCCTAAAAGACGTGATCCCGTTATTCTATCAAAAGGGCCACGTTTAGCTCATCTCACCTGCAAAACAGGGCGGGTTTTGGCGACAAACGGGAATTCGAGGGCAAACTATTGCCATTTGTGCCTTGGTCAAAACTCCCTATGCGGATTGGTCACGGTGTGCTTTCTTGTGGCATTGGAGCGTCAAAGCGCCCATGATTCGGAGCGGAGCACCACTGTGCAAGGCAGTTCTTTGAGGCCGGCGCGCAGGAATCTTTACATTGTTCTGAATGTTAAAAACACCAAAAACAATGAAGAGGTTGATAACCAGCCCTACGAGCCCCAAGCAAAGTTGCCTTTGAAACAAAGCCTGACAAGTTGCCTGGATAAGGCAAACAACACTTGAACATGAAGGAAGTCTCATTTTCACTTAGACGTGAAGACCAGAAACGAGGCAAGCCTTTGGGTGATCCGGTTCTACCAGATGGATTAGAACTCCACAGGCGCCTTCTGGCAACCAAAAGCCTCTTTTTCTTATGTGCAGAATCTGCAAGCACCGTCCAAGGAGATGGAACAACTTGCCGCGTTGGAGGGGGGAACAGGGCTTGCAGTATCTCCCCCTTATCTATCCCCCCCCCCAAGTTTCTTACAATTCCTTATACCCAGACCCTCAGTGGCCATGAGAAAAAAGGCATGCACATGCTTTTTGGAAGTGGTCTTTGGGGCCCACCCCC